GCTGGCTGTAGTCCATGGGGTCACAAAGAGTCAGACACGACTGAGTGACTAAGCACAGTACACAGTACATAGCTAACAGGAAAGAAAGTAAGTGAAAGTGAAAGTCACTCAATCCTGTCCAACTCTTTGCGACCCCATGGACTATACAGTCCATGGAATTCTCCAGGCCAGAATACTGGAGTGGGTAGCCATTCCCTTCTCCAGGAACAGGAGAAACATATCAAAATATGCTTTTGATATATTATAAAAAAATAGCAAACAGGAGAAACATATCAAAAGAAGAAATAAATCAATCAGTAAGTACACAATCAGATATGTGTGCCCATGAGTGTGTGTATGTGTGTACCCCAAGATTTACACAACAAGAGTTTTTACTCCCAGATGAAATATAAATAACTTGTGTGAGAAATAAATCCTGATCAAAAGTCCCTGAACTTTGTTTTTTTCTCTAATTGCCATCATAAGACTTTTCTTCACCCATTTGCCCTAAGGATAAGATATTCCAATAGCTAATTTTCTACTCCAACAATTATAAAGTTGAAATTGATTAAATAAGTTCCCATTCCTAGAAGAAAACAGGGCAAAATTCCTTAACACTGGTCTTTGCAATTATCTTTCGGATCTCAGACCAAAGACATAGACAACAAAAGCAAAATAAACAAGTAGGGCTACATCAAACTAAAAATCCTCTCCATAGCAAAAGAAACCATTAGAAAAATAAAAGGGAAACCTACAACACAATGGGTGAAATATTTTCAAATTGTATTATATATATGTCTAACTTATTTTACTAAGCATTATATTTTCTAGTTCCATCCATGTTGATGCAAATGGAAATATTTTTATGGCTGATTAATATTTCAGACAGAGAAAGATAAATACTATATGACATCAGTTATGTGAGAAATCTAAAAAATAATCTAGATGAATCTTTGTGGAAAACAGAAACACACTCACAGACACAGTTACCAAACAGGAAAATGGGGCACGGAGGACAAATTAGGAGTATGGGATCAACAGATATAAGCTACCATACATAAAATAGGTAAGCAACAAGGATTTACTGTATAGTACAGAGAATTATACCAAATATCTTATAATAGCCTATAAAGGAATATATTCTGCCAAAAAAAAAGAATCACTCTGCTGTACACTTGAAACTAACACAATATGAATCAATTATTCCTCAATTAAAAAATGAACTTAAAAAAGAAAGATAAAATTTTCTTTATTATATACTCACAAATTGAAAATATAATATGACAAACAGATTTGAATAAAGAAAAAGCAATAAAGATGTAGTGGAGATAATTTGACAGAGTAAATTAGTCCTATTTCTCTGGATAGTTGTAAGGACATATTATAAACCAGAATACATAATGATTTGATTGAAAAAAGAGGTAAAAATTAACAAGAAAGAAAGATAAGAAAAATTTAATCACATATCTATAATATAAAGAATGCAGTTTGGATTCAGCAGAAAAACTACAATGAGAAATATAATTTGACTGATAAATTTTAAAAATTACATCTGAGCAATAAATAAATAATTTTCTTACTGCCAGAATAAAAAGGAAAGAAACATAGATGGGAAAATTTAGTAGCAAAGCTAATAAATGACTACAGTATTTTTCTTTTATTAAAAAGAACTAAGCATTGATGAGTAAATAAAGCATAAGTAGTTTAGTATGTTTCAGAAAAGTATGAATCTGTCTTTAGCAGACAGTTCAAACATTTGATTTTTACATAAAGTATCTCAAACCTGTTATTTTCTAAGATGAGTTAAGCTTTTGTAAAAGGTAGCCATAATATCCTCAAATTAACAATAATTTTAAAAGCAGTTAAAGTGAGAAATATAAGAAAGGATGCATATTTACACTCTTCTAAGGATTTAAATTAAAAAATGGACAAATGCCTGTCGGCATATATTTTACATATTGCTTCTGCTCCCAAGAAGAGAGACTTGATTCTTTCTCATATGCAGAGCCTATAGAATTTTTTCTTTGATTAGAAAAAGTCTGGGAATTAGAGGATATTCACAGAACTCAATCTATGATTATAAACAGAAAAAAGAAAAATCTACAAAAGATCCCACGGTATCTAATTGTGTAGAGATAATAGAGGGAGCTGTGCTCAGCGATGCCCTGGGGACCTCCTGCTGGCATCATCTCTCAGGACCTCACCTTTTATGATCCTCTCAGAGAAAGACTCAATTCAGCATTGGTGCTTAAAACGTACTGTAAAATTCAACCAAGAAAATAGTCAGAGATTGAAATAGAATCCACGGAAAAGTCCATTTCATACCCAGCTGTTAGGAAAGAGGACTGAGAATCACTGTCATCCAAAACCGAACTCGGGATGTGCAGCTTGGATCTCTGGATCTCACTCTGCTGGACTCACTGGCAGGTCCGCTTACCTACAGTTCCCCGTCTCTAGAACAAACTCATCCTTGGTCTCCAGGTAAGAAGGAGGAAGATGCTGAAGGCATCAAGTCTCTGCAGAACCAGAGTTTATCCTGGGAGAAGGGCTGTGTCTTTATTTTTACAATCCACAGTCTATTTAGGGGAAGAGATTTTTCTTTACCTTTTTTTTTTTCTTTACCTCTCTTCTCATGAATTCTCACCCTTAGAAATCTTGCTACTGGGCACTTACTGAGGTGGTCAGTTTGTATGCTAAAAGGCACAAGAAATCAAAAGACCCATTGTCTCTCAAACTCGTTACCCCTTTTCAACTATGAGAATCTTCCTGTGTTCTTACCTTCCATCCCTGCTACATAGGTGTTCTCTTCCTGTTTCACATTGTCCACACTCTCTGGGTGATTCCCACTGAACTCACAGGAAAATACCTAGGACAGAAGACAGAGCTTCTTGAAACGTACTAGGCATTATCTGGGAAGTGGGAAGGGTCCGAGCACAGGAGTGCTAGTGTTAGGTGTGTGGACACTTCCTGCTCCAGTACCTAGTATTCAGGCTGCTGCCACATTGCATGTCTGCTCTTGTGCGTAAGAATGAAAAAGAGAACAGGATGCATATTGAGGGTCTGTTCCTACTTCTACTGGAAGAGGAACAACTACCACTGACGCCTCTCTCTTATACCGGTGTTCTAGGTGGTCACACCTAGTGTTACTCCCTCTTCATGGTCACAGGATCTCCCCATCCCAAAGATAACATGAAGCTGGACCTGCATCACCTGTGTCTTCCAGATTTCATACTATGCTTTTAAAAGGATTATTAGCTTAGGAGTGTTTGAGTGCAGGTTTGTGACAGTGCCTATGAGTATGAGAGGCATCTATTTGTTTCTGCATGTATTCCATCATTCATATACTAATTCAGTCAGTGAACATTTCCTAAAAATTTACTATATACTGGGTGATGCAGTCATATGGATTGAGATAGGATTTTTACACTGAAGAAACATAAAACCTAGTCTGGGAGACAAGCTTGTGAACAAATAATTATGTATAAATTAATGAGAACTTTAAAAAAGCATGTAATTATATACATATATCAAAACTCATCAAATTGTACACATGAAATATGCATAGTTCATTACAAAATTTACAATGATGAAGCAGTGAAAAAAAATGTTCTTGTCAGAAATCATTGGGAAATGAAATCAGTAGTGGATTATTTTGGCTACTGAGGTGGCAGTTGATCAATGATTCTCTTGTGTATTCCCTTTACATTGTATCAATGGAAAAGATATTTCTCATTTTGTTTTACCAATTCCTCAAGTTATTTCCTGACTCTGCCTTCCTGGTCCCTCAAGGCCAATATATTATACAGTTGATTCAGGGTGGGTCCATTGCATTTCCATCTGGATAGATATTTATAAATAGAAACCTCACTGTAACCATGTGGTCTTTGAGTCCTACTTAGCAGTTCATGAGCAGGTGATCCAGTCACAACTGATCAGGCCACATTTGTCCTATATTGCCAGTTAGATATGTGGTTTTATCTGTGAAAACAAACCCTTGTATGTTGGCAGTCTTTGACTCCCCCCAACCCCATCCCAAGATGTCCCTGCCAGGTAGCTGACTTTCTGCTCTGACATCTCCTTCATTGTAAAGGGCAGTTCTAGGACTAGTACTTCAGCCTTTCCCTGGAATATCAGACTCCAGCCCTGATTCCTAGCCATTTGCCCATGACCCTGCTACCTTCCCTAAGTCTTTCTAAACTCTTTCCCCAGGAGCCTGGATTCAGCAGGGTATTCCTTGCTTGTTCCTGAGGTAAAGCTATGGACTTTGGTGTTTCCTGCCTGGCTGCAAAGTATTGAACCAGGGCCTGATGCACCTCTCCGACTGATTGGACTTCTGATACATCTGCAGCATGAAGGAGCTCGAACATGGTTATGCCAGATAAGACCCTGCAACTCTGCAGGCAGCTGTTGTGACTGCACTGGGTCACCACAAAAGGCCCTCCCATTTCCCAAGTGCGTGTCGCTGCCTAAGTCTGGACTGGTCTCCACTATCCTGCCTCTGTCATACAGAAGTCTGATCATGCCTTACTCTTGAGCACTTCCATCGAACTTTGATTCTCTGATCCAGTGAAGAATTTAGGATGGAATCAGGACTGTGGATTATAAAATCATATAAAATGGTGTCATAAAATTTACTTTCTACTTGGAGGGATAATATGGCATCTCTTGGAATCACAAAGGAAAAATTAATTATTTGTTCTGCTTCTTGATGAAATAAAAGTGAAAGTCTGCTGACTAAAAAGTAAACTACAAAAAATAAAAACCTGGGTTCTCTACTAAATGCAGAAAACTTTATAATTTTTCAAATCCACATAATATGTTAGTGTTCTTTTTAGACAGCTTCTGTAGAAATATGGTGGTGGAAATTTTTAGAAATTCATGTCAAATATTTATAAGAATTTTTAAAAATCAGATACATTTTTTATTCCAGTGAGATCTTTACTTTCAGGATCTGATGCTCAAATGTAGTCAGATTTTTATGGCTCTGTTGATGCTTATTGTGTAGCTAGGAATAAACATCCATGGGCACAAAAAACCAAACATATCTGACTGAATTCATCTTGCTGGGCCTTTCTTCAGATCAGCAGACCCAGATCGTGCTATTTGTGATATTTCTCATCATCTACCTGCTGACTGTATTTGGGAATCTGCTTATCATACTATTAATTCATATTGACTCTCGATTGCATACACCAATGTATTTCTTCCTTAAAAACCTGTCATTTAGTGATCTCCTTTTCTCTACAACAATTGTCCCCCAGATGCTATTCCATTTGCTGGTAACAAGAAAGACCATTTCCAAGCCATGGTGCTCAATTCAGATGATTTTTTTTCTAGTAGCTGGGTGTACAGAAAGCTCCCTGCTAGCAGTGATGTCCTATGACCGCTATGTGGCTGTCTGCAAGCCCCTTCACTACTCCACCCTCATGACCCAGAGCATTTGTGTTCAGCTGTCCATAGGATCTTGGGCTAGTGGAGCGCTTGTGTCTCTAGTAGATACAACATTTACTTTATATCTTTCATACCATGGCCAGAACATAATTAATCATTATTTTTGTGAACCTCCTGCGCTCTTGAAGTTGGCTTCAGAAGAAACCTACAAAGCTGAGATGGCCATCTTTGCCATGGGTGTGATAATTCTCCTCGGTCCTCTCTCCCTTATCCTTTTCTCTTACTGGAATATTATCTCCACTGTGATTCAGATACGGGCAGGGGAGAGGAGACTCAAGGTCTTTTCTACATGTGGTTCTCATCTCATTGTTGTTGTCTTCTTCTATGGATCAACAATATTTACCTATATGCGTCCAAATTCCAAGAAAATGAATGAGGGGGATAAGGTGATCTCAGTGTTCTATTCAGTCTTAACATCTATGATGAACCCATTCATTTATAGCCTAAGGAACAAAGATGTTAAGCAGGCATTTAGAAAAGTATTTGGAAGATAGAGTCCCTTAGAGCCAATGATCTCTGTATTGACACACCATCATGGGGATGAGCATATTTTAAAGTGATTCAACATCTGTAACAGCTTTCTCTCTGAAGTGTCTCTAGGCTGATACATCAGTAAGGTACATACAGGTGCCCTTGTACATCTAGAATGTTTCAAGTTTGTCTACTGCATCTTGATCAAGATTATTCTTTGTATTTATAGATTACTTGCCTCATAATAATAATAATATTATGAGGCAAGTAAAATAGAGCTTTGCTGTTATATTGTATAGTATAATATTATATTATATTGATTATATTTATACATTACATTATATGAATACTTAAAAATATTGAATAGGATCTTTATTTACACTGCACTATTCATTCACTAATCCATATTCATCCAGTGATATTACCTTTTGATTCTAAACTTCACAGCTAGTTGTCAGTCTCATCCCATGCTAACATCAAATACAGTCTTCTACAGGTCTTGGAGTCCTGCGCTAGACTCTAAAAGTTCTAGTGAGAAGATATCAATGACTTTTTTTACCCTGAAACTCTGATACTGGACCCTTGGCTTTTTGTTTCATTTCCTACAGTCTCAAAATACTCCTATAGCCAATTCAGCTGCATATGGGGGCGCTGTTGGCTCAGACAATAATGTGTGGGACCTCAGATTCCAGTAAATATGGTACATCTTCTGTATATCACGCAGTTTCTCTCCAAGGGTCATTGCTGGTGAGGGAACTAGAATGGAGAGGAACATTGCCTACATCAGAACTCTCAGGGCCTTTACCTGTGACACCAATATACCACAGCTGCTCCCCCTCGGACATGCTCTCCCCTCTTCTGCAGGTTTGACTTGCCAACACCCATCAGTCCTCTCTTTTGGAAAGCAGAAGAGAATCACTGACGTATGAGAAGCAATCCTAGGAGGTGAAGGTTGCTCTGTAGGGTGAAAGGATGCCTGCAGTCTTTTCTAACTCTGCTATAACCCTCTGTAAGAGCAGAAGCAGCGTCACCAACAGACCTGCAGCTTCTAATCAACTCCCAGCCTGGTACACTGCCCTCATGAAAGTCAAATTTGCCACACTGACTTCTGGCAATTCCAGCTTCCATGTCCATGACCTTTTGTGAGTACCCAGTGCTGTTCATTGTATGTGACAAGGCCCTTGCTGAATTGAATGCATTGTGTAGAATGATCCTGCATGGAAGAATAAATCTGCGCAATACTAGATCCACCATGTACACAGATGTATATTGTTTTCAGATTATGTGAACCAGCATGCACCTATACAAGGAAACAAAATCCTGCTCCAAAGATTATTTGAGAAACTATGTTATAAACAGCAGCAACTACTTACACATGCTGCTGCCTCACGACCATTCAAAAGCTTAGTCCATTACTTGCTTTTTTCTTTCCATTTAGTATAAGGGAAGCTGTAGCACATAATTGGAATGATTGTTGCAAAAGTGGCCGTGGTTCACTTTGAGTTATAGAAAACTCAAACAGGATAAGAAAATACAGATACTTAAATACATTCTTAAAAGAAAACACCCACCTCTGACTGGATGCCATACTATTGATGACTGAGCAGCAGAAAGTGAAGTTGCTCAGTTGTGTCTGACTCTTTGTGACCCCATGGACTGTAGCCCACCAGGCTCCTCCATCCATAGAGTTTTCTAGGCAAGAGTACTGGAGTAGGTTTCCATTTCCTTCTCCAGGGGACCTTCCCAACCCAGGGATCAAACCCGGGTCTCCCACATTGTGGGCAGACGCTTTACTGTCTGAGCCACAGAAGATAGATGAATTAAAGCATGTGAGAAACTAACAAGCTCCTGAAGTCACCACAATCTGGGAACTACTCGTGTTTTCTAGAGCAAATAGTTTTCCAAGCCTTAAAAGAAATAAATTTCCTTTCATTATTCTACAGGTTGTATGACTGTTATTTTTGTGTTAAATCAACCCATATAATATTGCTTTCAATAGCACAGTTTGAGTTTATTTATGCAATGAATATCTAATTGACTTATTAACTAAATATTTATTGAGATCTCTTCTAGGTGCTGGATATATAGGACTGCACAGCTTAAAATTCCTATCCCCACTGAATTTACATTTTAGAAGAGGGTGATAAAAATGAATAAACAATAAAACACATAACATGTCTGATGGTGATAAGTGCTTTGAGAAAATAAAAACAAGGAAAGGCAGGCAGATGTTTTAAGCAGGTGGTCAAGAAAGACGTTTCTGAGAAGGTGATATTTCATTAAAGGACATCTTATATCTTGTAGAAATCAACATTTGTGCTGTGACCAGAAGGTTGAGAAGAAAGAATCAACCAAGAAAAGATTTAGAGAGGAGTGTTTGGGCAGAGAAAACACAGAGTCTAAAAGGCTTGGATTGGAATGAGTTTTTTTGCAATAAGGACAGAAACAGATCAGAATGTTTGAAGGCTGATGAGTGACAGGGGGAGTGCAATGAATGAGGTCATAGACAGAAGCAGAGGACAGATTGGTAGGGTCTTGGTATTAGCTTCCTAGGGCTGCCATAACAAATTTCCACAAACTCTGTGACTTAGAACAATAGAAATTCATAGTTCTGGAAGCGAGAAGTCTGAAGTTAAAGATATCTGCAGATTATGCTCTCTCAGAAGGCTCTAGTGGAGGACACTTCCTTGGTTTGTGGCACCATACTCCAATCTCTGCCTTTGTCTTCAAAATGCCTTGTTCCTTTATTCTCTTTGTCTTCCTCTTTTTTGAAAAAGGAATCCTTCACTGGGTTTAGGGTCTACTAGCTCAGGATGATCTCATCTTGAGATTTCCCATAATTACTTCTGCAAAGAACTTTGTTCCAAAAAAGTCACATTCTGAGATTTCAAGTAAGCATCTTTTAGGGTGACACAATTCAATTCATTACAACCTTGGAAGTCCTGAAGAAAAGTGTTTGATTTTATGTTCAATAGAAAGTCATCCCAATATGCTTTTAAAAATTCCCTTTGAGCATTATATGGAGAATGGATTGTAAGTGGACAAGGATGGAAGCAAGAAAAGCAATCAGTAAGATTGAGCTTTGCTCTGGTAACCCAGGAGAGAAATGATGGTCTTAACTAGACTTATAGCAATGGAGAGGTAGAGGAGATGGTAAGACTTAGGAGTAGATAAGAAATAGAGATGGAAAAAGAGAGGAATGAAATGTCTCTGCCAAGGCCTTGAGCAATTCTGTGTATAATGAAGAGGACTCAAAACAGGGGGAGTTTGGTTGGAAAATTAAGAATTCTCCTTTGGAATTATTTATATAGTCCTGTATTATATGTTTAGTTCTCGAAGTCTTCTGTATTTGAATAGTTATAATAAAGCTTTCATTTAAACAGTCATGACATCTTAAATTGCATCTTGTACCTCTAGTTTTTTGTCCCATTAGCTGAAAATAATTAAAGCATTCTTAGTATAGCTGCAGACAGGGATTCTGAAATCTCCTGGCACTTTTTAGATTGGGAGGTATCATCAAAATAATACAGCATATACGTATGTCAGCTGTATTTTATGTGATTCATACCGTCATTATTGAAAACTATTTTAAAAATTCTGACAGAACTTGGAGACCTCAGAGTTCCTCAGACTGATCTGAAAAAAAGTAGTGAAGAATTGACATCAGGTAAGATTCAGGTATTTCAGTTTGTGATTACCATAAAAAAACTACCAACGGTATTTTTCACAGAACTAGAACGAATAATTTCACAATTTGTATGGAAATACAAAAAACCTCGAATAGCCAAAGTAATCCTGAGAAAGAAGAATGGAACTGGAGGAATCAATCTGCCTGACTTCAGACTATACTACAAAGCCACAGTCATCAAGACAGTATGGTACTGGCACAAAGACAGAAATATAGATCAATGGAACAGAATAGAAAGCCCAGAGATAAATCCACGAACCTATGGTCACCTTATCTTTGACAAAGAAGGCAAGGATATACAATGGAAAAAAGAGAACCTCTTTAACAAGTGGTGCTGGGAAAACTGGTCAACCACCTGTAAAAGAATGAAACTAGAACACTTTCTAACACCATACACAAAAATAAACTCAAAATGGATTAAAGATCTAAATGTAAGACCAGAAACTATAAAACTCCTAGAGGAGAACATAGGCAAAACACTCTCCGACATAAATCACAGCAGGATCCTCTATGACCCACATCCCAGAATTTTAGAAATAAAAGCAAAAATAAACAAATGGGACCTAATGAAACTTAAAAGCTTTTGCACAACAAAGGAAACTATAAGCAAGGTGAAAAGACAGCCCTCAGATTGGGAGAAAATAATAGCAAACGAAGCAACAGACAAAGGATTAATCTCAAAAATATACAAGCAACTCCTCCAGCTCAACTCCAGAAAAATAAATGACCCAATCAAAAAATGGGCCAAAGAACTAAACAGACATTTCTCCAAGGAAGACATACAGATGGCTAACAAACACATGAAAAGATGCTCAACGTCACTCATTATCAGAGAAATGCAAATCAAAACCACAATGAGGTACCATTACACACCAGTCAGGATGGCTGCTATCCAAAAGTCTACAAGCAATAAATGCTGGAGAGGGTGTGGAGAAAAGGGAACCCTCTTACACTGTTGGTGGGAATGCAAATTAGTACAGCCACTATGGAAAACAGTGTGGAGATTTCTTAAAAAGCTGGAAATAGAACTGCCATATGACCCAGCAATCCCACTTCTGGGCATACACACCGAGGAAACCAGATCTGAAAGAGACACATGCACTCCAATGTTCATCGCAGCACTGTTTATAATAGCCAGGACATGGAAGCAACCTAGATGCCCATCAGCAGACGAATGGATGAGGAAGCTGTGGTACATATACACCATGGAATATTACTCAGCCATTAAAAAGAATTCATTTGAATCAGTTCTAATGAGATGGATGAAACTGGAGCCCATTATACAGAGCGAAGTAAGCCAGAAAGATAAAGACCATTACAGTATACTAACACATA